TCATTACTTGATGGTCAGTTTCTTGAAAATCACTTTAAAAATATTTCCCCCGGTTATTTTATTTTTTATTTTTAAATATTTTATTTATTTATCTTTAGAGGGGAAGGAGAGAGGGAGAGAAACCTCAATGTATGGTTGCCCCTAGTGCTTCCCCGGCTGGGAAATAGCCTGCAGGGAACTGGCCTGCAACCCAGGCATGTGCCCTGACTGGGAATCGAACCTCAATCCTCTGGTTCACAGGCCTGCACTCACCCCCCCAGTTTTTAAGTTGATTCGGTTAGGAGGATAAATATGGTATTTATTAGTCTAGCTTTTCTGGGATTGTAACTCACTCAGAGAATGGACCAGGCATTTTCATAAATTTAAAAAACAAGGATGGCATGAAAAAGTTATAGAGAAAACTAGCAGTTGAAGAGGCTGAGGTCAGAATTTGGCATGTTTTTTAAAAAATATTTCAGAGGTGAAGGAATTCAAGGTGATAGCTATAGTGTGTGATCATCAGATCTAGTGGAATATGAAAGGCACTTGTTGAAACTGAGGAAGTATTTGGAATGTGAAAGAATTATTTTTCTCTGCTTGAGAGAATTTCAGAGGGGTCCATTACCCTGGTTGTGGAGGAAAAAAAGCCTTATGTTAATCAAAGCTGTGGGGAAAGTTTATTTACAACCGATAATTTCCTTAGGGCATAGTAAAAATGACTGGGGACACTGTCAGCAGAAGCTGCTAGGACAAGAATCAATCGCAGTATGGAGAGGTCAGCGTAGGAGAGGAGTGAGCCTCGATTGACAGGCTATTTCAGCTAACCAGTGCCAGTTGATGTGGGAGGTCTGAAGCAGGATGGCAGGTGCAGCCAGCCTTCCAAATCGGCTCCAGTGATCTCCCCATGTAAGGATTTGTGCCCTTGTGTATTCTGTCACACACTGAATAGGAAAGACTTTTGTAGCCAATAAGATATGGTGGAAATGACAGAGTATAACCTTCATGGTTAGGTCTTAAAAAAATCATGGTGTCTTACTTTTCTTCTTGAGTCACTAGGAGAATCAGGTCATCATGCTGTGAGGACACTTGAAGCCCCATGGGCAAGCCCTCCTCAAGCTTTCAGATGACTGTAGCCCTGACCTAACATTTTGAGTTATTTTCAGTGACCTTCAAGTCAGAATTATTTAACTGTTCCACACAGCCCCTGAATTTCTAACCCATAGTAACTACATGAGATAATAAATACTTATTGATGTTTTTAACATTTAACTTTTGGGGCAATTTGTTATTCAACAGTAAATAACTAATGCTGACTTGGCACAAGGAACTGGATTGCTCAACAAAACCTAAAACATGGTCATAGATTTGCATCTAGACAGTGAGCAGAAGCTAGAAAGACTCTGAGGAGAGCACTGATGGGCAGCTCATGCACATTGTTACTTACCTGCTGGTTCACCTTGTTGGCATGGGAGCAGCTGAAACTGTAGCTGTCCACCTTCTGAGTGTGAGCACAATACAGCTGCCACTTCACTCGTCTTCTATATTTTCCATGAAATGACTGCCAGGCCCTGATTAAATGGAAATAAATATCTATAGAATGGAATTCTGGAAAATGTAGCTCAGTGACTCTAAGTTGACATGATGCAAAGCCACCACTGCATCCAAATGGAATGCTGTTAAGAAGTTATCTTTGTTCAAATGGTGTTGGAAGAGCTGGACAGCTACATGCAAAAAAAATCAAACTCAGTCACCAACTTACACCATCCACAAAAATAAATTCAAGGTGGATAAAAGACTTAAATATAAGTCATGACAGCATAAAAGTCCTAGAAGAAAACATTGACAAGAAAATCTCAGACATTCCATGCAGCAACATCTTCACTGATATGTCCCCCAGAGCAAGGAACATAAAGGAAAGAATAGACAAATGGGACCTCATCAAATTGAAAAGCTTCTGCATGGCTAAAGAAAACAGCATTAAAATGAAAAGAGAACCAACTATATGGGAAAACATATTTGCCAATGATACCTTGGACAAGGGTCTGATCTCTAAAATATATGAAGAACTCACATGACCTCTCTCCAGGAAGACAATAAACCTAATTAAAAAATGGGCAAAGGACTTGAGCAGACACTTCTCCAAGGAGGACATACAGAGGGCCCAGAGACCTATGACAAGATGCTCAGTATCACTAGCCATCAGAGAGATGCAAATGAAAACCACAATGAGTTACCACTTCACACTAGTCAGAATGGCCATCATAAACAAATCAACAAACAAATGCTGGAAAAGTTGTGGGAAAAAGGGAACCCTAGTTCCCTGTTGGTGGGAATGCAGACTGGTACAGCACTGTGGAAAACAGTATGGAATTTCCTCAGAAAACTAAAAAGGACCTGCCCCAGCAATTTGACCCAGCGATTCCAATGCTGGGACTATATCCTAAGAGCCCTGAAACACCAATCCAAAGGAACCTATGCACCCTAATGCTCATAGCAGCACAATTTACAATAGTCAAGTACTGGAAGCAACCTAAGTGCCCATCAGCAAATGAGTGGATCAGAAAACTATGGTACATTTACACAGTGGAATTCTGTGCAGCAGAAAGAAAGAAGGAGCTTCTACCCTTTGCAACAGCATGGATGGAACTGGAGAGCATTATGCTAAGTGAAATAAGCCAGGTGGTGAGGGACAAATACCATATGATCTCACCTTTAACTGGAACATAATCAACAAAAGAAAAAAGCCGACAAAATATACCCAGAGACATTGAAATTACGAACAGTCTAACAATAGCCAGAGGGAAGGAAGGTGGGGACCATGGGGTGAAGGGTTTTCAGGAACTACTATAAAGGACACATGGACAAAACCAAGGGGGAGGGTGGAAGCAGGGGAGGGAGGTGGGTTTGGCTGGGGGGGTCTGTGGAGGGGGGAAAATGTAGACCAATGTAATTGAATAACAATAAAATAAAAAATTATCATAGAAGTTAAAACAACCTTTTGATTGCTGATATCTACACACATACCTCAAACTCATTAACATAAAAAAAGAAGTTATCCTAGTTCAGGGCCACGTCAGAAAGTCAGGGCAGGATTATCTGGTTTTCACAGCAGTCACAGACATGGAAGTGTCTGGGAAGCTGAGGCTGCCACAATGGAGGAAGCTCAGAAAGTATGGAGAGAATACAGAGAAGGGACACTGAGCTGAGAGTTTATCTTCTTTTGTTTGCAAGGGGCAGCAACTCACTGTGTATTGAAGGAAATGAGAATCTCAACCATGCTGCAAGGGCTCATGGGAAATCCCCCAAAGCCACACAATATCCCTTCTCTTCTATCACTATTTCTTCTAAGAAGTGGGATCAAATGAAAGAAAGAAAAAACCCTAAGCAATCTAAGTAAGGAAACTATTGGCTCCCATGTGAGCCGCGGTGGGGTCCGCCCGTTGATAATGAGGGGGTGGTATTGACTAGAAATGAGTTGTGCTGTCGGACTCAGAGCTGCTCAGACAGCGCGTTAAAATGGTTTCTCTTTCACCCCGACTAAAGGAATGAAGACCAGAGCCATCTATGATCATGCAAAGGAGAACTGAGGGCCACCACCCTTCCCTCGTGTCAAGGGCCAGCTGGCATACAGTGGGTATGGCTTTTCATCCCTATGATGAGGTTCACAATAGCAGTTTTTAATCTTATAGGAGCCTATCAAAGAGAACATGGTGAGAGGCCATTGTCCTAGAGAAGCTTGAGCAAGTGAGGCATTTAGCCCAGATTCGGCTCAGCGCAGCCAACTCTTCCTGAGCATGTGTGGAGCTCCACCCCCCTGGGGCTGGAGGGCGGGGCAGGGCGGGGCAGGTGGGAAACTGACATCGGCCAGGGCCCTGTGGATTGTACACTGAGTGCAGTGAAGCTGTGCGGGCCTAAGATGCAGATGTCAGTTTTAGTGTCCTTGGTGGACAACCTCCACCCTTGGCATCTCTGCCCACCAAGATCCCCAGAGCAGGCAGGAACATCACCCTCAGGCCTCCCGCCTTTCCAGAGCTGGTGAGGGGCTCATCTCCCTATTACAACAGGAGTTTGATTTCCTGCCCCAGGTGCTGTAACAAGGGTGCCTGTGCTACTGCTGCTGTGCCTCTGCCTCCTTGGGCGCTGGAGGCGCCTGGCACCCACCACCCGGGATGACTCTGGACAGGTTGTTTACTGACCTGAGTTCCTCCAGCTGTGAGAATGCTCTGTAGCTGTACCCAGATCCTCCTGTGGCAGGGAGGATCTGCTGCCACTTGGGGTTCTAATTAGACCTGAAACTGCATAGTTTCAGGCAGAGAACTGGCATTTCGTAAAGATTTGTCCGCATCATCTACCGGGTATCACTTAACATAGACTGGAACTCAGTTTCAACTCATGCTGTAAGTCCACGGCGTAGCTTCATCCTCCTTCAGAGTCAGGCAGGGCCCGTGAGGGGACCAGAGCTGGCTGCCCTGCAGGGATTTCCCTCCCCAGGGTCTGTTTAGCTTTGTGTTCTGCCTAAATGCACCGATTCCAGACCCTTTAAAAAGTGTTCTCTTAGCAAGTTTCAGGTTTGAACGAGGCTTGGAGAGGGCAGAATTGGCCTAGGTAACTAAGCTGAAACAGTCGGAGGACAGGTGGCTTCCGGTCACAAAGTCACTGCCTCAGCGTCCGGCCCGGTGCCCTCTGTCATGGCCTGTGAACAGGGTGAGAGTTGGGTGCTGGGGCAGACGCTGCGGCTCATGTTTCCTCAGCACCAGGGGCGGCTCCCAGGATGGGCCTGGGCTTCTCACCGACGAAAATTCTGTCTCAAATACTTCAACTCTGTCTGCTCAGGGCCAACAGCTACCAAGGAGTTACCAGGACAGACTGGAGCTGCTCCCTCTTCCTGGGCCCCAGGGGCACTAGGAATACACCACGACTGGTCACCGCTCTTTATTTATTGAGTTGAGAATTCACACAACTTAACATTACACAGTAAACCATTTCCTGGGCTTAATAAAAATGATTGTCACTCACTGTGCTTCACAAAAATTTCTTTTAATGAATAAATAATTTTTGATGAAATCAAAAATATTTACAATATAAACAGAAGGAAAAGCTTTCGATCCATGGATCCGATCGTTGAGATTTGCATTTTTGAACTGAACTCCTCCCAAGCTTTCCCCGTGGAAACGATACAAATCTGATAGAAACAACAACTCCTACAACATATCTCTGTTCATTGTATGTTTATCTGTTAGTCTTGGAAAGCTACATAAGCTTATATTATGCAACATGTTAAAATACAAATATTAACTAAAATAATATATTATCATAATGCCAGGTAGCATTCTCCACAGAACAAAAATGTACACTCGATTGTAACAATAACAAAGGTTCACGGGCCACAAAATAATACCCCAAAGGTACAAATTCCTTCATAAGAATATAATTGTGCTCTTGAGTCGCCCAGGCATCTCCCCTGCTCTGAGCAGCCGAGGCCGCAGCACAGCGCCACGTGTGCCGCGGCGCTTCCGACGGGCAGCAGCATTGCTGGGAACTGGGCAGTGCAAGCAGTTTTCTACGTACTTTCCTGGGCTCTTAAAAAGAGCCCATTATGCAAAGCAAAATAAGCATATTGGGAAGTCTCGACCTCATCTACACAAACCCAGGGAACATCTTGGCTTTTCGGGATGAAAGGGCTTGTTCGTGGAGTGTGGTGTCGTCAGCCGGAACTCAAGTATTCCAGGGCCACCTCATAGCAGAACTTGTACTGATCCTGGAAAACAGAAGGGAGAAAATGTCAGCTCCTCAATGTCTAAAGGCGGTTTCTAGGAAAGCAGTTATGCCCGACTGGGAGTTTAATTGGGAGAAATCAAACGGAGAAGAATTTGAACCAGAGGTAAATAGAACGTCATGGCTCTGAACTGTAAATGTTCATTGTTTACGGATGTTCTCCACAAAGCCCGATGGAAGGTGTTCTGCTACCTCTGCTCGCTAGAATTCCTGGAAAGTTCCTGACAACTGAAACACACGTATGTATCTGTCCACACATACGTGTTTACCTGCACATCGATACGCTGAGCACAAAGCATGGGACAACCAGGCGACAGAAGGAAAGGTAGTGAGTGCTGGAGGGAATGCCTTCCTGACTTGCTCATTCACGGCCCTCGGTAAGTACATGTGGCTTCACTCCCGGCCCAGGTTTACCTTCCATGTTTGTTCATCAGGATTCCTCCATTTAAAGAGAAATTTTAAAAGCCTCTTTGATCTGGACTCTGACTTTGAGAAGTCCATAGTCCAACGAGGAGGATGAGACAAGGGACCCACAACCACCCGCGGGGCAGAGATAAGCAGGGCCCGTGAAGGGTCCTCCGACACGGGTGTGGTGGAAGAGACAGGGGACTTCTCAGGGGAGGTCTGGAAAGAAGCAGGTAGGTAACAGCAGGGAGAGAGTGAAAGCATGGAGCTGGGGTGGGTGGCTGTGGGCTGTGGTTTGCCCAGGACAGAACACTGGTTTATGCTTGTTGTGCCGGCATAAGCATCAGCAGCCTCCTTTGTACCCTCGAGAGCGCCCCAATTTGAATGGCCGAGTACAGGGCCATCCTGACGCAGTAACACGGGCACTCCGGGTAGAGGCTATGGGACGAAGAAAGGTGCGGAGAGGCGGTGTCTGACACGAGCTCCTACTCAGGCACTGACTTCATCTTCTTCGAGCACAGCTTTCTCAGATCTCGGACCTTGGCCAGATCAAGCTCCCTGTGAGGTCCTGGGCCACCCACCTGGGCTTGCAGGTGGTGGGGGAGGGCATTCCACACCTGTGCGTGTGCACTGCGCTGGCGGATGCTCGTGGGTGTGGCCTCTGCAGAGGGACCCGAACTTCGGTGAGTTGTACAAGTCAGCACTGCTGTCGCCTCACCCAACGAGATGGTCACAACCAAGCGACTGGGTCTTTTATTTTTGGGTTTTCCAGATTAATTAAAAATAAATTTCTACTTTTTTTTGGATATGTGCCTCCTAATTAGTCACTGCAGCTTCCGTTTCTTCACCTGTTATCTGTTCTCTAAATGCTCTGCTAGTCTAATCCATTTGCTTGCAGACAAAGGCCATAGCTTACCTGTCTGTGTACAGGACACCTGTCTTTGCTGCAGAACCTGACCTACAGCTGGGAGAGTTAAATGTTGGTCATATGTGTAAGTGACGGCAAAAGGTTTAGCAGCATTTGATTCAACCCAACCAACGTCAAAGGCTAGAGACTGGGATTTCAAGGGACAGTCACAGTCCTCAGGGAGACTACAATCTAGAGGTGAAGGCAGAAGGTAAACAGTTCATTTCCATGTAGTGAAGGTGTCACAATATCAAACACCAGTAACAGTAACACTTACCAGGATGGCTAAAATAAGAAGAGACAATAACAAGTGCTGATGCGGATGTGGGGAAACTGGAGCCCTCACACAACACTGGTGGGCGTGTAAATGCCCCGGGCGCTTTGGAAAACAGCCAGGCAGCTCCCCAAAAGGTTAGACACAGACTTGCTCTACAGTCCAGCAATTTCATTCCCAGGTATGTACCCAAGAGAACTGAAAATAATGTCCACACAAATGCTTTCTGATTCACATTCCAGTATTTTTTATTTCAGGATTTGGTACTTTTATTTTCAGAAATCACTTGAGTTTCACGGAGCTGACCTGTTGGCTATGAAGCACTCCACTAATTTCTCCTGATTTTATTATTATTATTTTTGTGAATCACAGAGACAACTGTTTTTTTTTTTAAACGGAAATCTAAGAGATCTAATTCCTTATTGGATAAACATAATTTTGTACAAACCTAATTGTGCAACTAATCTCAGTACCTGCTACGAGCCCATCCTTTTGACACATGAAGATACTAACTAATATTTCATTTAGTGGGGGACCTGGCTGCTGGCCCTGAGCCCCAGCACTGCCGAGGAAAGGGTCCTGGCTTTGCTGAAGGGGCTGCAGTGCTGGTCACTGAGGCTGCCCTGTCATGGGCATGACTGTCATTTCCAAAATGAGTTCTCTCTCTCTCAGCTCATCCCTCCTAAGCAAGCTGTCTATCCCCAGATTCTGTGATGACTGGTTTCTGAAGCAGAAAAATAAAAGAAATGAGAAGAATGATCAGAAATTGTCATGTCCCCTCCCCCCAAGCAACTCAGGAAATGCCCGAATCTTCCTGCGTTGGAAACTGATTACATGGGATCACCCCACTCGTTTTTGTACTGAATAATGAAACCACACGAGCCATCTCCGTGCTTCATGGAAAAGATGTTTTTGTCTTGGTCCCAAACTCATGATTCGGGCAGCATTAGCTGGCTTTGGGTGTGAAGAAGGGTCTCATCCTTGGGCAGGATGGTAACCAGGGGGACCGGCTAGTCCTCTCCGAGACCTGACCCCCTTTCACTCTGGACCACACTTCCTGTTCCCACAAAGAGGGAGACAGTGAAATCTGAAAGGGCACCTAAAAGTGAGGTTACGTTTCCGAAGCCCTCGCCTGCTCCACGAGGTGGCTTTGGGAGACTCCCGAAGGCTCGGGCAGCCCGGCGCTTCAAAGCCCACATCCACGCCTGAGATGATTCAGAGAGAAGGGTCTGCTGGCTCACCTGTGGCAAAGCTGCCCTCCCTGGAGCACCTGCTTTGTGAAACTGAGACAAGGACACAGTTTCAGCTGGGCCCTGTGCTGACAGACCCTTCTGTGTGGGAAAAATCCCGACCGATGCCCCTGCCTGCACTGGGTTCACGGTTCCCGGCCAGGTCAACTGGGCAAGCAGTGCTGTGGCAGCAGCCCCCGGGGTAAGACAGCCACGTGCCTCTGACAAGGAGCAGACAGGCCATCACTCCCACCTGTACCTTTAAAAATGCACAGCAAACCTCTTCCCTTAAAGACCATGCAGTCTGTGCCCGGTTCCTGCTCATCCCTGTCAGCTGGTGCCACAGCCTCCCCCAGGTTCCAGAGGGCGGCCAGGGGCGGCTCAGGATGGATGTGGGTCTTGCTGCAGAGAAGCAATGTCCAGCTGCTCAGCAAATAGCCACTGGGCACCTCCCTGGAGCTGGGAGCTGGTGCTGAGTGGTTTTGCTGTCTCCTGCCTCAAAGAGATCAGAGTCTGGGGCGGAGGGAGGGCACTGGGCACGAACAGAGATCACCCCATTTGCTGCCCTGATATGCAGGAGGACCAACCCCAGGGGTCTTAACGGGAGTGTGAGGCTGGGCTGCTCCTCCAGGGCTGGGGGCCCCAGGGGGCCTGGTGGCAGTGGCAGGGCCGGGCCCGAGAGAAGTGGGATGCCGCCTCGGATCGCCAGCCGCAGCCCGCGGGGCACAGCTCAGGGCCTGAGAGCACATCTCTGACTCCCCGCCCGAGCCCACGCCCTCCACTCCAGCATGTGTGCCCACACCTACACACACATGCCTACACACGCCTACACACGCCCCACAGCTACACCCACATACACATACCCACAACCACACACCTACACCCCCTGTACACATGTACACACCCCACAGCTACACCAAAATACAGACACCCACAGCTACTCACACCTGTACATACAGCATACACCCACATATATACCGACACATACACCTAAATACACCCGGAAACTACACGCACACCTATATTTACACACGTACCCACACCTACACACACAGGCAGACACCCACATCCTTACACACACAGACCCCCACATGGGGGGAGCTGTATTCCCACAGCACGTGCCATTTTGCACAGCTCACGGTATGTGTGACATGAGAGGAAAGTGGCGCTGAGTCTGGGTGGCCGGCTCTGCCTCATGGTGAGGAGATACCGGCCAAGAGGGGAGCACAGGGGCCGGGAAGGGGGAGGTGGGCTTGGCTGGAAGGGGCGGGCTGTGGACCCTGCCGAACCAGAGGATTGCAGTTCGATTCCCGGTTGGGGCACATGCCTGGGTTGCAGGCCAGTTCCCAGCAGGGGACTCACAAGAGGCAACCATACATTGATATTTCTCTCCCTCTCTCCTTCCCTTCCCCTCCAAAGATAAATAAATAAAAAAATCTTAAAAAAAATAAGGGCTAATATTTAAAAAATCTAGTTCTGTGTTACAAATTATTTTGTTTCCTAGCAATCAATTGGCTTTTCTCCAGAGCCCCCAAAACTAAAAATTTGAAGAAATAAATCTGTTACGGCTTTCCATATCTGTGTTGAAAGTGCCATGATTCAAAACGGATGGATGGATTTTCAAACTCGGAAGTCATTTAGAAACATCAGCGCCTGAGAGGGAGCTACAGACGGACCCCTCCCTGCACGCTCATCCCACTGTGACCGGAGGGCGCGGGGCAGGCGTTCCACGCTGTGAAAGGAGGGGACCACTGTGTGACTCGGCCTCCGCTTGTGACACCTGGGCAGGCCCAGTGGGGGCTCTCCCGGTGCATCGCCCTGGCTGCCCGGGCGGCCGGGAGTGCACTCCAGAGCTCCCCGGCACGCACGCCCCGTTCTGTGAAGATGCAGCTAAGAAGATTCGGCACTCGGCTCCTTTTGGTGCTGGCACAACGTCTTGTGCTCAGGAGGGACTCAGGTCTCAGATGGCCTTTTAGGCCCCATGGAATTGTATCAGGCTTTGTCACCCTGACTTGAATTAGTCCCCTTTGCCAATATACACACGGATGAGTACGTGAGTGCCAACTAAACAGAAACTGTACCTAAAGGCAAAAACCAAGCAAGTGACAAGAATCCTTATTTAATTCAGGAAGCTTGGAGCACAGGTCAAAGAGCATTGTGACATTCTTTCTGGTCATCAGTATTATTCTGCCAATATCCACTGTGAGGAATTTATCAGACATTTTTCTCAGGAAATTGCAAAACTTTTCCACATTTATCAGCCCCTGACCTTACCCTAAAACTGGGGCTGACCCTCTGAGCTCTGGGCACTCAAGGATCCTGTTCTCTGTGGTTGAATTACACATAATGAGAGAAGCCTCTGAGTACTGAGGTGGGATCAGATGCTCCCGTCCGGTCCAGCCACCCAGGTGTCCATTCAGTTCACAGAGGATTGTCCCAGCCCGCCGTTGGCACCGCTGACTGGGAAAAACTGTGTTGTTTGTGTCCATGAAAACTTGTGGGAGATGAAAGCCACAGCCAGAGCCCCAGAGGAAAGGGCTGCAAGGGTCTGTCCTAATTAATGATCTGTTTAATTTAGGCTGTGCTAAGAGGGAAACAACTTTTTCCCCCCAAGGTCAGCTTTGCTCAGGTACCAAATGAAGTTTGGAAGCTATACCTCTGTCTGTGAATCAGGGAAATACCAAATGAAGTGACAGAATATTTTAATCTACATGTGTGTGTTTGTTTTTATCCTCTGCCAGCCTTCTTATCGGTCTTCCCCTTGGCCGCCCCGACTGCCCTTTTCCCAGTTGCTCCCAGCCCTGGAGATGGAGAATGCTTTAAAATTCATGGTGGCCCTACCTCTGGGAGAGGCTGGCTCTAGTGACCACAGATAGTCTTATCAGCCTCTCAGCCATGCACATGAGATCAGTGACATGGGAAGGCACCTGGAGCGGCTCTGGCACACACTGAGCACCATGGACCTGCTGGCAGCTAGCCACCACCCCCTGCTGCAGGCCAGAGCTTGTGCATAACTACCTCAGACGGGCTGCTGGCTGCCCGGTGCCCTGTGGACACCTACACTGTCAAGAACCAGCTTTCTCACCTTGGCAGTTTCCAAAACACCTTCACAGACATCATCACGAGGGGTCACTACCATAAGCCAACACTATCCCTAGTTCACACAGCTCAGGCCCCCAGAGAGTTAAGTGTCTTGCCCAAGGAAACCTAAATTGACAAGTTAACTTGTCTGAGGCCACACTTGAGGTAGTAGCAGAGCTGACACTAGAATTTGGGTTTTCACCGGCTTCTCCCCGAGCAGGACAAGAGTGGGGGAGGCTGGGGGCACAGTCCTTTCTCCACAGAAGCCGACGTGGTGCCGATGGCTGTGAGTCCGCACCTGGAGGAACAGCCCTGCGGTACGACGCTCCCCGGCCAGCACCAAACTGCTTGGACTAGAGCAGCTCTTCAGACACAAGGCACGCATCCCCGGAAAGCAGGTGCTTCTGTGGAGTGGTCTGGGCGTGTCCCAGAGTCAGCGTCCTGGGTCACTGTCATCACTCAGCTGCGGGTACCGCTGTAGTCAGGACTGGGGACCATGGCTACTTCAACTGTGTCTTATATCTCAACTCTCTCTTTAGTCTCTTTACGCTAGTTTAAGTTTACCCCACGTCTGCAGTGCTGTGGCCCCGGAAACAGAGGCTCAAAACTTGTTGGCAGTGCGACCTTCCTCGCTCTTGGGCGGCCATTCTCTCCACCTTAGAATTTTTTCCCGTTTCCTTCAGATCCTTCCTCCACCGACAGAGAAGTAGGAAACCTAATCTAAAACCTTCCTCCTTTACACCATTCGACTATTCTTGAGTTATTGGCTGGCACTGCAACAGCTACACACACACAAGAGAGTTCATGAAACACTCCAGAAAATAATTGCAGAGTCCTTTGTTTCTCAACTGCTTTAATCCTTTTCTCAGCTATGGCCACCATAATTAAGTGCAGTATTCTGCATGTCAAACTAAATTCACAGATTTTACAAATATTAGGTGATTAAGCTATTTATAAGATACACAATTTGAAAATCTGGCATTGCGTGTGCTATGATTATTCTGTCTCTGTGAAGACTAAGTGCTTAGTCACGTGGAACGGAGACCAGTAAGAAGCGCACTGTGAGTCCCAACTCTTTCCACACTTCAAATGCACTGAGACAAAGTCTCCTTGTGACAAAGCAAAGGGGTGAAGAGGGAGAAAACCCCTCGTAAGAGAAGTGATTATATTAGGGTTTTGAAAATGAGCTTCTTCCTCTCTGAATCAGTTTCCCTGACTAACCGCCACGCGGGGGTCTCCTGAGAACTGGGACAAAGCCTGGTTCACGGTCATGGTCAGGGTATGGGGGAGGGGGAGAGGGGAGAGGGGACGGGGGAGGGGGGCACCTACCAGCAGGTCCACCATGTTGGGCTTGTTGTTCCGCAGCGTCTTCACCGCATGGAAGACGTCCACCGTCCGCTGGTGCCGCAGCATCTCGCACACGATGCTGAGGGCGCAGAAGGTGCCACTGCGCCCGCCCCCGTTCCTGCCGGGAGAGGAGTCAGAGGGCTGGTTGGACTACGTCTGTCCTTACACTGCACACTATGGGCGGCACCCGCCACCTAACCCTCGGGAGCCGGGCTGGCGAAGCCTCCCAGGCCAGGAGCTGGCCACCGGGGCCAGTCCTTGTCATGCAGTGGATGGAGCACCTGAGCCTCAGTGCCAGCCCCGAGGTTCCCCTGGTTGGAGGCGCCATCTGGCACATCCTGTTCCCCCAGCTTCACCCCAGCCCTACATTATGTTAGTTTAATACAGCACCTTATCAACTTTTATTGAGAGATCCTGCCTCAGAAAATTTTCAATGAACAAACACCTCATTTTGTATCTGCCAGGAAAACTGGTGGTGGGTGTGAGCTCTGTTCAAAGACGAACTTGGCCTTAAAAATATCCAAGTTTAGACATACAGGATCCTTGCAAAAACAGCGCAGTTACCCTGCATACATGCCCACTCTGCCCGATGGGCTCATCTTCCCTCACCGTAGTACGTCACCAAAGCCAGGAAATCAGCGCTGCTGCAAAACTATCACCGACACCACGACCTTAGCCAATGTCATCAACGTCCTTTTTCTGGTCCAGGATCCATTCCAGGAGCCCATCTCGCACTCGGTTGTCTTGTTTCCTTCGCCTCCCCCAATCCATGACAGGTCCTCAGTCTTTCCTTGTCTTTCTTGACCTTGACACTTTTGAAGAGTACTGGTCAGTTATTTTTTGGAATACAAAGTGGAACATAGATGTGGAAAGTAGCCATGATCCCTATCCATACTTTGAGAAATCATTACAAAATACGAATCACAGAATGCCCCTTCACTTGGGTCTGTCTGACATTTTCTCATGATTGGAAACAGGGTTATACACCGGGGCACAGAAACCAGAGAGGGGCTGTTGCATCCCTCACGAGTTGTCTGCTGCGGGCGATGGTGACCTGGGTCACTTGTTTAGATGGTGTGTGCCCAGATATTTTCTCCTGTGTAGATATTACCTTTCTCTTTGTAGTTAATAAACAGCTGGGATAGATACTTTGGCATTATGCAAATATCTTATTTCTCCTCAAAGTCTCACCTCCTGATTTTAGCATACATTGGTCGGGCCCTAACGATCACTGTGGTGTTGGCCGCACTGATTTTCTGCCTTTCTCCTCCAGCATTCTACTTTAAGAAAGAGCTGTCTCTTCTCCCTCAGTTAAAATTTGTATTTGCTTATTTATTTCTATATCACTTAGGTCAGTTTAGACTTACGCATATTTTATTTTATGAGCTAAAGTCCAGGAGTGTAGATTCCATTTATTTTGTTGCCGAAATTGTTCCAGCTCAGGCCACAGGGCACTCCACCAGGCCGGTGCCTGTGTGCTTGGGGGAAGTCTCCCTCCTTCCCGAGCCTGCCCTTACTTTGTGGAACCACGAGCTGTTCCAGGCCATTCCGTGCTGTTTCTATACCAGCTGTGGATTTAACCAAGCTGGGAATCTTTTTTTTTTAAAACGTAATACCATCATCATACCTAAAATAAATAAACATTACTGTTTTAGTATTTTTCTAGACAGTGTTCAGATTTCTCAGGTTGGTTCTCACATTTTCTTATGGTTGTCTATTTCCAATCCATATTCAAGCAAAGTCCGTACATTGCATTTGGTTCAGATGTCTTGCAAGTTTATTTTAATCTATAAGTTCCTCTTTTTTTCCCTTTTGGCAATTTATTTCTTGAGGAAACGAGGTCATTTTTCCTTTTGGGAGCTCTGTATCATTGTGTCTCTGAATAATTTAACATGTTGCTCCCCAACCCTATATTTCCTGAAAATTGGGAGTTAGCTCCAGAGCCTCATAAGAATTTTTTTTTTGGACCAGGACAACTTATAAGCATACTGTCATTGCAAAGCAGGCACAGATATCAAATTGCTCCTTTTTTTATGATGTTAATGTTAATCATTATGATTTCATTTCCTCAAGAAATCAAATGTTGGCTTGATCAGTCCACTGGTAAGTTCCAAATCAGTTTTTTTAAACAAAGTATAATATACCTACCTACAATTAAGTCCACAAATGGAAAGTATGTATCTCAGTTGTTACAAATGCATATACCATGTAACTACCACTCGGATGGAAATTCAGACCCCTGGACCCCCTTCCTTGTCGACACCATCGGTACCCCAAAGATAATCTCTCTCTCTCATCTCCAGCACTGCAAACTTCTTTTGTCTATTTTGAGTTTCATGTAAGTGGAATCATACCCTACATGCTCTTCTGAGTTTTGCTTATTTCACTTAATATTATATGTGTGAGAATCATCCATTGTACCAATATTCTTTTATCTTCCTGAAAATAATTCCACTGAATGGATATACTACTGTGTAATTTATTTCTCTAATAGCTGATGAATGCTTGGGCTGTTTCTAGTTTCTGATATTATGAGCAAATCTGCTATAACACATGTCTTGTGGTGCAGGTATGATTCAGGTCCGTAGCTGTATGCCTAGGAGTGGAAGAGCTCAGAGAATGGATTTACTTTAGCTTTAGTAGATGCTGTTAACAGTTCCAAAGTGGCTGTAGTGTATTTACTTCCTCCCAGCAGTGTGTGGGAGTTCCAGGACCTCCACAGCTTCACTGACACGTGACGTTATTACCATTTGCTTGTCTTGTACATTTCAGCCATTTGGGTGAGTAGCACTGACACCGGATCCTGATTTCAGTGTTTATCTTTCTGAAAACTAATGGTACTGAGGACCTTTTTATTTATTTATTTAATATATTATTTTACTTTATTGATTATGCCATTACATTTGTTCTATTCCCCCCTTCATTCCCCTCCACCCTGCACACCCCTCCGCCACCATTCCCCCCTTTAGTTCATGAACACGTGTCTCAAGTTCTTTAGATTCTATATTTCCCATGCTATTCTTACCCTCCCCCTATCTATTTTCTATCTACTGTCTATGCTACTTATTTTCTGTACCTTCTCCCCCCTTCTCCTTCTCTCACTCCCCTGTTGCTAACCCTCCTTGTGATCTTCATTTCTATGGTTCACTCCTGATCTAGCTGTCTTCTTAGTTTGCTTTTGTTTTAGGTGTGGTTGTTAATAACTGTGAGTTTGCTGTCCTTTCACTGTTCATCTTTTTTATCTTCTTTTTCTTAGATAAGTCCCTTTAACAGTTCATATAATAAGGGCTTGGTGATGATGAACTCCTTCAATTTGACCTTATCTGAGAAGCACTTTATCTGTCCTTCCATTCTAAATGAAAGCTTTGCTGGATAGAGCATTCTTGGATGCAGGTCTTTGGATTTCATGACTTGGAATACTTCTTTCCAGCCCCTTCTTGCCTGGTAAGGTCTCTTTTGAGAAATCTGCTGAGAGTCTGATGGGAACTCTTTTGTAGGTGACTGTCCCCTTTTATCTCTTGCTGCTTCTAGGATTCTCTCCTTCATTTTAATTTTGGCTAACATAATTATGGTATGTTCCTTGGTGTGTTCCTTCTTAGATCCAACTTTTTTGGAACTCTCTGAGCTTCCTGGATTTTCTGGAAGTCTATTTCCTTTGCCAGAATGGGGAAGTTCTCTTTTATTATTTGTTTAAATAAGGTTTCCACTCGTGACTGTTCCTCTTCCCCTTCTGGCACTCCTGTAATTTGGAGGTTGGAGTGTTTAAAGATGTCCTGGAGGTTCCTAAGCCTCTCCTCATTATTTTGAATTCTTATTTCTTCTTTCTTTTCTGTTTGGTCATTTTTTCCTTCCTTCTGGTCCACTCCCTTGATTTGAATCCCAGTTTCCTTTCCATTACTATTGGTCTCCTGTGCATTTCCATTCATTTCAATTAGTTTAGCCTTCATATGTTCCTCTAATTTGTGACTAAAATCAACCAGTTCTGTGAGCATCCTGATCACCAGTGCTTTGAACTGTGCATCTGAAAGTTTAGCTATTTCTTCATCACTTAGATTTATTGGCTCTGGGGCTCTGAGTTGTTCTTGAGCCATGTTTTGATTTGTTTGTGCCTGTTATGTATGAGGAGAGGTGCCTCAGATGTTCACCAGGGTGGGGCCACCCAGGTCACCGGTTTGTGATGCTGTATGTGGGGGTGGGGTCAGAGAGGGAGCAATGGCGGTCCTCTCAGCTCACCCAGTCCGCCTCACCACTCGCCCCCGCCTGTTTATCTGAGCGCAAATGTGGGAGCCCGCCGCCCTGCGCCGGGGCCTTCGAGGTCTGTCTCAATGCTCATCTCTTCACTGGTTTATCTGCGCGCAAATGCGCGGTCGCAGACAGCCAGCCGCACTGCGCCCTCCCTGGGTCCGCCCATAGCTACCCCACACCTGGGATCCGCGCCCTTGGCTGTCTGCACGCTGCCCAGGTCGGGGGGATCTTTTTTGCCAGACCTGCTCTGCTGCTGGCTTCGCCCCTCTCACCGGTTTAGCTGAGTGTTTCGTTATTTTTGGACTCCGTATTGTTCGATTTTCTGTGGTTTGGTTGCGTTTATTGTTGTTAAAACTTTATTATTTTTAGATTTGGTTGTGCGAGGAAGCAAAGTGTTTCCACCTACACCTCCATCTTGGCGGAAGTCCCAGGACCTTTTCTAAGCTTATTAGCTACTTGGATATTCTTTCTTTTTCTTTTTTTTTTAATGATGTTCTTGTCAAGTGTTAATGCCCAAACATTTTGGCTGTCTATCTTTTTCCTAATGACTTGCGGTAGTTCTTAGGTATTCTGGCCACGAGTCCTTTGTCAGATGTATGCATTGCAAAACTCTTCACGAGCTCTGTTTTGCTTTTTCACTCTGGTGTCTTTTGATGAAATGAAATATATTTAACTTTAATTAAGTTTAATTTATCAACGTTCCTTCATGGCTAGTGTTCTTTGTCTCCGGTAACAAACACGTCTTTGGTTACCTCATGGCCATAAAGATTTTCTCCCAGAAACATCATTGTTTTCTTTTTCACATTCTGGTCTCCAATCCATTTGGAATAATTCCTGTGTGTCGTCTGAGGAGGGACACCAGGATGCGGGTGGTCTTTCCCCGCTGCCCTGCGGTAGGTGTGTTGCTGTGAGATCTTCGTTGTAAGCAGGCAGCCCCGAGGTGTGCTGATTTCCTGGATTTTCTTTTCTGCCCCATCAGTCTATTTTCTGTCTTTGCACTGACACCTCACTACTTTTCCTCCATTTGCTTTTCTCCTCATGGTTTTCAGCAGCTGTCAGAGACCATTGTCTACATCCATCGCTTCCATCAAGGATTGCAAAAATGGTGATACCTGACATTTATTCTGGTTTTATTGGCTGAAAGATATGTATAAAGAAAAATCCCTTATTCGCTTATTGTCAGTTTGTGTGGCTCAAGGCACCATTCGATTCACAGCATCTGGAGGTGTCTTGGGACGGGACACTCTGCCCACAGCCATTAGGTGGCGCTACACTAAGCTGAATAGATGTCCTTGCCAGAGATGACCAGCAGGGAGCTGTTGTGATTCAAAGCATTCCTTGCTGGCCTGTACTGGAGGACACTAATTTTATCTAACTTTGTTTCTCACAGTTAAAAATCTTAGATTTAGATTTATAAACCTAAACAACAATAAACACTCTCACCAGGCATGGGTCTCATTGCCACCTGGATATCAAGAGAGTAAGAGGCAGCTGCATAGGAGCTACAAGGACTTCATAATGGGAGAGAATGATTCTCAGAGAAAATCAGTGTTTCCTCACCATCGGTGGAAACAGCGGATGCCTGCTACTGTCCACTACAGTTAAATCACAGCCCTCTGTTTGAAGTGGCACCTTTGGGAAGGTGATGTGATTGTTTCCCTCTAGGGCCACAGCTGTGTCCTAGAAGATTGTAGTGGTGGTTGTCTATGAAGTAACCTGATGTAAGGCGTGCTTGTATCTTCCCCTGAGGCTTGTCCTGCTGCCTCAGCTTCCTCTACTGTGACTTAGTCCTTTGGGTTAAACCACTGGCCCTTGTAAGGCACCTACTAATCAAATGGGGTACTATGCCTTATGCTTCTGGTTCTAGATGCTGGCGGACTCCAGATGCAGAAATGGGTATCTGCAAACCACTTTCAGTTTTTCAAAAAAAACTTAATAGATATATTACAAACTCTAACTAAAATGTCAATTTTCTTTGCTAGGATTGTATCAGCTCCCACTGGTGACCCTCTGATCTTATTCTGATCAGAGTTCACATCTGGACTTAAAATTAATAAAAATGGGGATGTGACCTGTTAATTATTCATTTCTGGGTTTTCTTGGTAGAGATGTTTATAATGAACTGGGTCCAAGAAAAGGAAGGGGAAAGCAGTAAAGTGGGAGGGGCTTATAAACCAGCTTTTCAGGGGGCAAAACTCCAGGACTTCTGGGGGAGGGTTAAGTCTGAGTAGGCTCATGAGATTCTTTTCCAGCGAATGTCAGTTCCCTGCAGGGTGACAGGCCACGTTTTGACTTGCTGAGAGGCAGGGCGGGGTTTGAGGCTGCCAGGAAGGTCCCCCGGGGCCCTGAGTGGGGGTGGCACTGGTGAGATACTGGCGCCGGGGAAAGAGTAACCCAGGCCCTCACCCAAGTTGTCTTTTTAAGTAGGGTTAGTGGGCTCAGACTAAACCCGTATTTTTCCTTCAATTTGGGAGAGAGCTCATTGTATACTTCTAATCACACTCCACTGAAAAGAGCCATAAACTTAATACTTTAAGTTTCCACAAATTCTCTAAACATCTTCCCTAATTGCCATGACTTTCTAATTGCCTGCTCCATTAAGCCAATTCCAGCTGGCTGATTAGCTACATATCATCATCAATGAGGAAATGCAGGTGAAAGTGCTTTGAAAAACCTGGAAGTCTCTTTTCAGTGGCTCTTCATCTAGGCTGAATGTTGAAACTACGTGGGAGTTTTAAAAAGCACTGACCTGAGGACCCTGTCCCTGGCAATTTTGATTTAATTGGGCTTGTCTGTGGCCAGGGCATAGATATTTTTGTTTTTAAACTTCCCGAACGATTCCCAGTGAGCAGCCGAGGCTGGGGTCGCTGCTCTGCTGCAGAACTTCTCCCACTGCATCTCCTGCTTAAACTGGTGGCTGTGGGGACACCTCTGGCAACCAAGGCTCTAAGTCTCCCCAACATGTGTGTTTCCAGACCCCAAACAAAACAAAGCAACAGAAAACTCTCTTTAATACCACAAAGGAAAAAGAGATAGTGTCTCTGAAGCTCCTGACATGATTTCTAATAGAATCATCCACTGGCGTGATGGTAAGCTAGCTTTGCTGGGTGGGAGGCAGCCCTGATTTGTGGTGTTTGCTGATTTCTGTGATGTGAAAAACTTTACTATGGATGGTTTCTGAAGCTGCCAACAGTTTAGAAAGTTCAACCAGCTCAGAAAATTCCCCACAATGTTAACAACTGGCCCTCAAGAGCTGGTAGGAGCCCACCAGAGCCCACCCAGGGGTTTCCTTTGGGAGGGAAAGGGTTCCCAATCGCAAGGTCAGGGCTTGTTTTTACAGCAGTGACGGCCCATCCAAGCGCCTGTCTTGCTTTCTGCAAAGCGAACCCAACCCTCATCAAGTAGACTGACCACCTCCTTTCACTCACACCTACTTATTACTTTCCCATTTATAGTAAAACAAGATAGTGAATTAGAAGGTAATGAGGGTCAGCTGCTCCTTCTGCGACGCAGCGCTCACTAACACTTACAAGCAGTGCACGACCGTGCGGCCTTCCCCGCCGTTGTATTCCTCCTGCCACTTGTCCACCTGGCGAATGAGCTTCAAGAAGGAGCGCTTGGACACTGGTGTGTCCCTGTACATCGGCCAGCCCAGGAACTGGAACTGCTGCACCATCCGGTACCCGTCCTGGGGCTAGGGAGAGTCAGGGAGGGCAAGAAAACAGGCATTCTTTACTGCACTGAATTCCCAAGGGCAGACCCACCCACCGGGTCCTCTCCCTGGAGCAGGGCGTTACTGCTGCAGGGGAGGCCTGCCTATAAATAACAAAGGGCGCTCCTGCTGGCCTGAGAGTTATGAGTTTTAATATTGAGCTGTTATAAAAAACCAGGTGTTTTAAATGACAGACCAGACAGATAAAAGTGAAGCAGAGGTCTTATAATTTTGCAAAAGTCAAGGGCAAAATAACATACAACGTGAGCATGGACCACATTGTGCAGTAACTGGTAACATGTCTTTAGTCTAATTACAGGTAAATTAAAGGCAACAGATAAATTATAATTAGGAGATGTTTGTGAGCTTAGGGTGTTACAGACTGCACTTTTCCTGTGAGAATAATATGTTTTTTTAATTGGGGTACATCTTGCTAAGATATCAATAGTTGATTTACCTTTACTCTCAGTTAAATGAAATTGCAGTATTCAAGAAAGTGTTAAAAAGGCAACAGTTTAACCCTGCTCTGACTAAACCATCTGAAAGGTGACCACGCTTTTCTGGTTGGCACACGGTCCTCACTGGGCTGTTGTTGCTTCTCCCTCTCCACTTCCTCCCCTGCCTGGGCCTCCCCTTCTCCCAGGCCTCTCGCGGATGGAAGCCCCGGGCTCAGTCCGTGGGTCTCCTTCTCTTTTGTCTCTCATTTGATGACTTCATGGTTTTAAATATTCCCGTAAGTCACCAATTTATATTTCAGATCAGACCTCTGTCCTGAATTTCACCTTCACAGATTCAAATGCTGACTCGGTATTTCCACTTAGGCATCTAATAGTCACGTCAAACCTAGTACGTTTCAAACGGAACTTTCGACCCTCCTTCCACGTGTGACTGTCCTGCCACTGTCGTTTTTCACCTGGATTGTTGTAACAGCCTCCTGATGGCCTCTCTTACAGTCTATTCTCAACACAGAAGCCAGAGTGCTCCTTTTAAAAGGTAAGTTATAACATGTGACTCTTCTACTCAAATGGTGTACTGGCTCCTATTTCCTCTGAGCAAAAGCCCAAATCCTTGCAGTGGCCTTGCGAGGCCCTGCGTGATCTCTGCCACCCCCACCCCTCTTCCCTTTAGGTGACCTTAGCTTACTGTGCTCCAATCACATCAGCCTCTCCACTGTGGCCAGAACCCCACACCAGGGCCTTTGCACCGGCCACCACTTCTGCCTCCAGACCTGACTCCACAGAACGGTGGACGGCTGTTCCCTCACTTCCATCAGGTCTGCTCACACTGCACACATTCTTAAGTAGAGCCTTGCTCTCTCTCCTGTCCATGTCCTAGCATGTTCTACCTCCCCACTTTTTTCCTATATTATTTATCAATTTCTAACATATCTCATTATACCTGTTATATCTCTTATTTATTGTCTGTCATTTCCCATTAGCATGCAAGTTCCATAAGATCAGGGAGCTTTGTTTTCTTCACCTCTGTATTCCATACTCCCAGAACAGTGACTGACACCGAGTGAGCACACTAAACATTCAATGAATGAGGAAATAATGAAACGGCAATGTAAGTGCGATTGGCCGTGATTCTTACTCTGGATGCATTGTAAATACGGAATATCCGGCTGATGATGTCTTCTTCCAAATCAGCAGAAACAAATTCTACCTGGATGGGGCCATGTCTGTGAACTCCGTTCTCTGGCCAATACTGTGGACACAACTAAATTCAAAACGGAGAAACACGATGTTATTTATAAGAATAAGTTTACTCCGAACAGTCTGGATAAGGTCACTATTGACATTCAGTAATTCTTACTACTTCTTTGATTCACTTAGTTTTCTTTCCTTTCTCTTTTTTCTTTCAAGAAAGTAGACCTGAGGACTTTCTTATGGGCTGATCCTCAGCTCCACCTGTTCTTCTAATTCTCTTCCCTTCAGTTTCTCAGAAAGCATTGTTAGGCCCTGAGCAGAAAGCATTGTTAGACCTCCTGTTTTCCCAGGAGGTCACGTGGATGCTGTTTGACACACCTATCGTGAGATTCCTTTTGCTGCTGACAGGAACTATTACCAGGCCCTGGGGGGATGTCAGTAGTTGCCATTTCAAGAGCTAACATACTTAAGATGGCACACATACCTGCTAACACCCAAACCTCCTCCCTCCCCTGGGCTTGCACAGAATGGTGATCCCTGTGGGGAACAGGGCTACTCTGAGACAAGATGCTGATACATGCTGGGTTGCATTTTCACGCTCTGATCCAAACGCCCCCAGCTGTGATCTGGAAAACCTGGTGTAATAAGAGTAAATGCTTTACCTGAAGGTGGTTTTAATAAAAAACACAATTTCCTAGAGTCCTGCACTCCAAGTATGGTGACACTAGGTAATTAGAACTTTTGCACAAACATAATGTGAAACACAACTCGATGTACAGAGGAGCAAGGTGACTTTCAGACATTTTCATTTGCGACACCCCACCAAAATACTGAATTCACAGACAGGTGAGAGAACACCCAAGAGCTTTTCTCCTCACCAACCTATCCTAAGCCCTAAGACCCAAAGAGGCATTTAAAGTTGGAAATTAGACTTCTTTTGGATTTGATATTCCAGTGACACCTTGGGGAGTATCATGCACCTTTTATCTTTCTGATTTACCCGAGGGACAAATAGCTGAGCTGAGGAAACAGAAACTACTTCATTACTTTAGAACTTATTTCTGTTGGGCCAAGAGCAGATGAAAAACGTATCAGCTCATTTTGAGCAGAGTGATGAACCACAACAGAGTTCACTAGCTGATTTTCCTTTTCTTGATGACTTTTATTTTTCAATAGATCTAAAATCTCATTGGCAAAGGGTGATTTATATGCAAGATTGCAAGACAGTTTTCAGTTACCAGTAGGTCAATCTAAAGAGCAATCTTCCTCTTTGTATTATAAAGAAGTTGGAGACTCGGACTTTATGATCAAGAATGAAAGTAGGATAACTAAGGGTACTTTTTAAAAATAGTAGTTAGAAATTACACTTATTTATTAAAGTTATATTAGTTTCAGGTGTACAACCCGACTGATTAGACATTTTATAACACACCAACTAACCATTCTGATAAATCATGTACCCATCTGACGCCATTCATAGTTATCAAAATATTTTTGACAATATCCCCTAAGCTGTAACTTACATTCCTGTGACTATTCTGTCACTACCAATTTGTACTTCTTAATCCCTTCACCTTTTTTCACCCAACCTCGCAACACCCCTTTCACCTGGCAACCATCAAAATGTTCTTTGTATCTATGAGTCTGTTTCTGTTCTGCTTTTTTATTTTGTTTTTTTAGATTTAATTATTTATATATATGTTTTTATTGCCATTCTATTGTTCACATCCCTGACCCTGTTTTCTTCTTTCTCCTTTTCCTCCTCCTCCTTCTTCCTCTTCTCTTTTTCTCTTCTTCAACCTTTTCCTTCCTTTTCTTTCTTAAAGAAGACCCTTTAACATTTCACATGATACTGGTTTGGTAGTGATAAACTTCCTTAACTTTTTCTTGTCTGGGAAGCTCTGTATTTGTCCTTTGATTCTAAATGATAGCTTTGCTGGGAAGAGTAATTTTGTTTGTAGGTCTTTGCTGTTCATCACTTTAAATATTTTTTGCCCGTCCCTTCTTGCCTGCAATGTTTCTGTGGAGAAATCAGCTGAAAGTCTTATGGGAGCTCCCTTGTAGGTAACCAACTGCCCTTCTCTTGCTGCTTTTAAGGGTCTCTCTTTGTATTTAACCCTTGGCATTTTAATTATGATATGTCTTGGAATGGGCCTTTTTGCATCCATCTTGTTTGGGACTCTCTGTGCTTCCTGGACTTGTACATCTATTTTCTTCACCAGGTCAGGGAAGCTTTCTGTCATTCTTTTTAAAAATAGGTTTTTGATTTCTTGTTCTCTCTCTTCTCCTTCTGGCACCCTCATGATGTGAATGTCAGTATGCTTGAAGTTCCAGAGTCTCCTTACACTCTCCTCATTTTTTAAAATTATTTTTTCTTTTTGTTGCTCTGATTGAATGTTTCTTGCTCCCTTATATTTCCAGATCACTCTTTTGATTCTCAGCTTTGTCTGCTCTACTGTTGATACCCTGTAAATTATTCTTCATTTCTGACTGGTTCTTTTTTATGGTTTCCATGACCTTTTTAATGCTGTTGCAGTTCTCTCTTATCTATTCTTCCCTTAAGTTCCTTGAGCATCCTTAGAACCAGTGTTTTGAACTGTGCCTCCAGTTGATTGCTTCTCTCCATTTTGTTTAGTTTTTTTTTTCCTGGAGTTTTGTTCTGGTTTTTTTTTTTTTTTTTTAACTTGAGACATGAATTTTTTTTAATCCTCACCAGAGGACATGCTTATTGATTTTATAGACAGGGGAAGGGAGGGTGAGACAGAGGGAGAAACACTGATGAGAGAGAGAAATATTGATTGGTTGACTCTCAGAAATGCCTTGACCAGGGACTGAACCCATAAGCCAGGCATGTGCCCTGACTGGACTTGGGATTGAACCTGTGATATTTTGGTTCACAGGGCTACACTCTAACCAACTGAGGCAGGGAACATGCTTCGTTGTCTCCTCACTTTAGCTGCCTGCCTCTGTTTGTTTCTATGTACCAGGCATAGCTGCTATGTCTCCTGGTTCTGGAAGAGTGGCCTTAAGTAGTAGTGTCCTGCAGGATCCAGTGGCACAGCCTCCCCATTCACCCAAGCTGAACACTCCAGGTGTGCCCCCATCTCCCCTGTGGGCTGTGTACCCCTTCCTATCATAGTTGAGCATTGATTGCTGGCGTGTCAATGGGAGGAACTTATCCCCAGGGCCACCGGTTGCAAGGACAGCTATGACCACTGGAGAATCAGCTGTGTAGGGGCCCGCCCACGGAGCATGACATACTTCAGTGGGGCTTGGTGCCTGCTGAGTCTTCCCCTTGAGTGCGTCTCTTGTGGAGGTTACTGGGTGGTGCTTTATCATAGTCTGACACTGTCCACTCAGTTTTGCTGACTCTAGGGCTCCCAAGAGGTGCTGGCCAAGGTCAGCAACTGCCTGTGTTCTGCCCAGGGCCACCCAGCATGAGTTACAAAGTGATCTGCAGATGGCTGCTGCTTGTGCTGGGCTTGGCAGTGCCCAGGAGAGGCCAAACTGAGAACCAAGGCTGGCTGCAGCTAGTGCCAGGCCTGGGGGTACTCAGCAAGAGGTATGGAGCATGCTGAGGCCATATGGCATTTGTTTGAGAGATTTTATGAAAGTCTGAAGCATGAGACAAGACAGGCTGTTTGTATGAAAAAGCCACTGGAATCAGCTTGGGTGGACCCACAAGTTGGTGGGGCAAGACATCATAGAATCACTAGGGTGGGTCAAACAGTGTGAGCCAGGTTGACGGAGTCTCATATACATTGCCCGCCTGCTGATGCTGTTGCAGGAGGCTCAGAAAAAGAACAGTGGCACCAACCATCACTTCTGTGTGTGAGAAAGCTGCCTCTCCAGCACTTGCCCTGATGCCAGACACTTCAGTTCCTCCCTGCATGTCTTTGGTGCCCTTCAAGCTGTTGCCCCAATAAGTGCTGAAGATCAGAGCAACTAAGTCTGACTAGATCCATGCATGGGCCCTTTAAGAGAAACTTCCTGGGCTCTGGCCTGATGGCTCAGTTGGTTAGGGTGGTCCTGTACACCAAAAGGTTGTGGATTTGATCCCCGGTTGGGGTGCGTATGCACGGCAACTGATAGATGTGTCTCACTCGCATCTATGTTTCTCTCACCAAAATCAATAAAAATATATTCTCAAGTGAGGATTTAAAAAAAAGAGGAACTTCCTAGGACTCCAGTAGCCCTTGGTCTCACTCAGCCACAATTCCTGCTGGTTATTATAGCCAGAATCACAGGGACTTCTCTTCCTAGCACTGGAACCCTGGGCTGGGTAGCCTTGTGTGGGGCTGGGACCCCTTGCTCCTCAGAAAGGACCTTTGGCAGTTGAGATATCCTTCCCAGTTTTTATCTATCACATGTGGATTTGGAGCCAGCCAGTTCTGGTATCTCTGCCCCCTTCCTACCAATCTCCACATGGCTTCTTTATATTCTCAGTTGTAGGACTTGTGTTAAGGTGGTTGTGAATGATGGTTGTTCTGCAGTTTAGTTGTACTTTTGATGTGGTTGTGGGAGGATTCAAGTACTGTATTTACCCATGACACTATCTTGACCAAACATTTATTTATTCTTAAATAATATTTTCATTAAATTTTTCCTTCCTCACCAGTGCTTGCTGGTGACAAGTTATAAAACCACCTTACCAAAGCTATTGCATGCTAGTGTTTATTTTCTTTTTGATATCCAAGTGTACCAACTGTTAAAATTAATAGGCATTGGGATGGGAAGTTGAGATGGTAATAAAAGCCCTAACATGCACATTTGAACTTTTCTGCCCATTTTACTCCTGACTTAGCTAGCTTTGCTTTTTGCTTGCTCTCTCAGTTCAATCCCTGATCAAAAGCTTGTCACTTACACCAAAGAAATATGAATGGGCCTGGCTGGCGTTGGCTCTTGGCACAGTGCATTCTGCACTCTGCCCAAGTAAACCATGTAGAAAATGGCTTAAATGGTGCATAACACATCCATGAACTGGACCTATAAATACTTAAAATAGTTGAGTGCTATTCTTGTACAATTGCAAAGCCTTTAAGTTCAAATGCTCAGTTTAATGTTCTCTAAAAGACTGACTCCCAGGAGCCTCTTTTCTCTCACTCTGAAAATCACTCTCACTGCTGAATGGAATTGCAGTTTCTTTGTCTCTCCTACCACTGGCCAGGCAAGGCTTGGTTTGAGTCCAGACAGTTTGGGTTTAGAATTCTGCTTTAGAATTCAAACACTGGTGTTCAGAAAGAACACACAAAAATCACGAACTTCTGGCTCTCTAATACGAACAAAAGAGTATTATCAGTACATTTTGGGATTCACATTAGGGGAAAAAGAATGATTCTGAGGAGGCAACAAGTTCCTTATTCTATAACTGCCTTTGACTAAGGAATCTTGAATTAGTGAAATTTAACCCAGAACACTGCAAGTTAGAAAACCAGGATCCTTGGTTCTATTTTAAGTTGTGTCTTTGAAGCTCTTGAGGTGTGGTTTCTGCTTGTCCAGAAACGGCTGCGATCTGTCCCCCAGAGAGGGTCAGTGGGGAAGGTGCTAAAACGTTTAAGCTTCTTAAGCAAAGGGACTAGATGAGGACAAGGATTATCATTAATATTTCATTAACTTTCAGGCTAGAGCCTTAACAATGTAATATAGATGTCAAACATAATGAAAAACATTACGGAGTTGAAGTGAATGTTCATGCCATTTATGGTAGAGTGATGGCAATAAAGTAGATTTTAGGAAGAAAAAATCTTATCCAGTTTGAAAGCTAAAATGCCTCAGACCTTTTTTTAAAAAAAATAATCTAAAAACTTATTTTAATGAAAATTTAAAATGACATTTATTCAAAGTTTATAACTTTAGAAAAGTATTTTTAAAAAGTGATAGCACTTAACACTAAAAAATTAAACTCATATTTTTCTGTTAAAAATTAAAACTATAAGTGAATGAATTAAAGTAAAACCATTCATATTTTCAGAACTTATTTTTTAAAATAATTTATGTTTCTAGCAGGTAAGAAATGAATTCAGCTCCTGAACCGGTTCACCTCAGCACGTGCTGGGTTCAAATGCAGCACAGCCGTCCAGACGTGAAGCCCCCAACTGTGTGGCCATGCCCGAGAGCTCCTAAAGGGCCACGGTGCTAAAGCTCGCCTGGCAAGTCTCTTTAAGAAAATGGTTTTTAACCCCATTACTAATATTGGGTCATTACTGTCCATTCTGTCTCTTTTGATGTTTAAGAAGAGGAGCTGTAAGGAAACCCCATTTATCATTCTGAGCTTTTATTATCTTCAAGTCCCAGTTTTATTTTTTAAATTTTTTTATGAGAGAGTTGATAAAACTAATTGCTGTCTCTTAAAATCACCTGTAGGGCTCCACTGTCACTTCCGCAGGACAATCACCCTGATGGGACCAAGGACTGGCTCACGTCCTTCCTGCGTCTCTGGTTTGCTGGTCAGTGACTTTGGCTTTGCGATGATGTCCATGTTTCTGTTCGGCTCTGACGCGCCCATTACCCGTGTCTCCCTCCAGTCAGTATTTCCATCCTTTCTTACCCTGTCTTGCCCTTTACTTCCACCATTTATAATTCCAGTTTGACATTATGGTTTGAGAAGATTTTCTGCCCCAATCCCTAGTTCCATCTGATTTTTAACATTCGTGCTTCAGCATCTCTAGTTCTCAGTCCTCACGTGGCTTTTGTGACTTGGTACAGAAGGCCACACTTCTCAATGTGTAAGCAGACAGATTTAACCCTGGGCAGGAGCTCTGGCTGTAATAACTCACGAGTCTCACCTGGGCCGGATCTACGTCATTCAGCATAACTACAGATGTGCAGTGGTAATCCAGGACCAGTCTCCAGAAGTCTTTCACTGTGTTTGGCAAAGGATGCTGCGTGACTATAAAAGCTGAAGGCTGTTTATAGCTCTGCAAACACACAAGAAAGATCCAAATATACCAGGAAATGTGAAGGAAAGAAGCTAAGGTTATTCTGTATACATACAAATTTGTGACATAAAAAACACTGAGCACATTTAACAATTGTTGAATGCTATTATCATTGTCAATGCCAAAATAGACTAAATATAAACTTCTCTGCAGGATGGTAATGATTTTCACTCTGACACTAAGAAAACAATATCATCTTATAAAATTTTTGCTATATCTGGTAGAAAAGCAACATTGGCTTTATACATAATTATTTAATAAAGAAAATTTAACTTTAATTTAAAAATGTGTACAACGGAAACAATTCTGTTTTTCCTAACAATCTTCCCTACTCATTTATATGTGTGATGGTGTTACTTATGTTTGCATTAGAAGGATACACGTGCTTTTTATAGCTCTGGAGGGCTTCAAACAAGTTCAAGTGCCCTGTTACTGATACTGCACCAATAGAATAAAATTTCCATATTAGCACTAAAAATATCCATTCACTTTTCCCATCAATTGAATAGCAAATGTTCATTCAATTAGGAGTAAATTGACTGACAGGAAGTAATGAGTTGTGTACTCTCTGTACTGACAGGCAATTTTCCCCCGTGGTGATTACTGCCTAAATTAAGAGGAAAGGGGACTCAGGTAATGCTGCCAACCATATTACCCCACTTCACTGCCTTAGTGACCTAATAGCTATCTCTTGCTCTCTGGCCAGCAGGTTAAAAATTTAAGTGTTCAGAGAGTAAATGAACATGTTTCATTTTTCAATACTTTGGGACTGATGGTTTCCAAGAGACCAAGAATGTTGGTGCTGGCACAAAAACACATGTGGAATAAGAAATGCACTTTGTTGAAAAAATAGTTTCTGTCTTAAAAAAAACCAAAACACAACCCCAAACCCAGGGCGGACGAGTCGACCAAGACCCAGGCCACATTTGGTCATCGTCCCAGTGGCTGCCCCTTGAGAAGAGTCTCCCCGTTTCCTTCCGAGGGAAGGTCAGTGGGCTTACGTCCATGAGGGCGGCGTTGATGTAGTTGCTGCTCTCCCCGTCGATGGTGATGAGGAAAGGCAGGCAGCGGTCTGGGGGCAGGATGTCCATGCAGCGGTTCTTCTCATGGTTGCGGGGCAGGAGTGCAATGCTACAGTCTTCCACACGCAGCGTTGGCGTTACCATGTTCAGGGTCTACGGGAGGGAGCACAGGCACATGGGGAAGGGAATGCTGGGTAGCGTGTTGCCTCAATTCAGGCTTCACATCCAAGTTTCTCACAGCCTGAGTAGGAGATGGTCCCCTCCCCCACCTGCCCCATAGCCCCACTCACACAGTTACCTATTAATTTCCGTCTTCTCTCTTTGGATTTTGTCTGCAGACAGTGCCTACTAGGGCCAGACACCCAGGCACTCAGAAGAAGGAGGCTGGGTAGGGTTTGGTCTGGGGCCAGGGACATTTAGACTGAATGTGAGTACAAGCAACTCTTTCCAAGCAAGTGCTCTGAGTGTATCTTGCTTGTTTTGGCTGCGCCTGCCTGGAATTGTGGGACTGCCTGGTGTCTGCTTTTAAAGTGGGGAAATGGTGTTGCTAGAGCAGTGGTTCCCAACTGGGCAACTGACCCTGTGGGGCACTGGCAACGTCCACACACATTTTTGCTAGTAGCAACTGACGTGGTGGAGGTCTTCTGGCACCCAGTTAGTAGAGGCCAGGGATGCTGTGACATCCTAAAGGACAGTCCCCACAGCAAAGAATTACCAAGCCCCAAATAGCAATATTGCAGAGGTTGAGAAACCCTGTATTGCCTCAGTGGTTTAAGATCTGACTTAGATACATTTCTTAAGGAGCAAAGTCACAGGCACTGGCCTCTTCTGTTAGCATAACTTACCCGAAATTCCTCTTTAATCTGGCTTGAATTTGTCTGTGGATCCAGTTTGTTCATGTCATAATACAGAGACCTAACTTGGGAGGCAGGGATGGAGGTGTCTCCGCAAAGACAGGCTTCTAGGATGGCATCATGGATAAACACGTATTGTTCCTAGGGATGCAGATGGGACAAGGTGGTCATGGACAAGCCAAGGCAACGGAGAGATCCAGGGGAGGCAAGACAGCCCCTCATGGTCAAGGAGATGGAGCAGTGTTCCGACGGAGAGAAATCAAGTGTGAGGGCCTGACTGCTAGGAGGGGGTGCTCCCCCCAAGGCACAGCCAGCAGGCTGCTGAGTGGGCACGTGTGACAACTTAATGGAGGAGGAGACAAAGGGCACCGCGCATGAGCACTGTATGGACTGGTTAAAACCGATCAGACACTGACAGACGCTGGAGCAAGCACAGTAACACTACAGTAACTGTGGCCAAAATGCTTTTGTAATTCTGATCCCATGAGTTTGAAACTCAATATTTTAGATGAGGAAATAAGCAGAATCTTATCTATCTATAATAATAAAAAAATTGACCAACCAAATTAATAATGCAAAGGTCCAGGCAAACTTGACATCACTGAACAAACAGTTCTGAGCACTTAGAACTACTTATTTTGAAACTTTAATTAATGTGATAATTACGAAAGTCCTTACATGTCCAGAGAGGAGCTCTTGTTTGTATACACAGTAAGCTCACAGTTTGAAAGTGGGTCCTCTGATTTAGAAATGGCACTGGTTTTCCCTACAATTAATTACTGAAGTTTTACCATAGGTATTATTAACTTTAAATTATATGAGATGTGAAAGAGCCTCATTACTTTTTACTTTAATTTCTATAAATAATCAGGACTCTTCTCAAAATAGCCCACTGCTATTAAATATCACCTCAAAGAAGAGGAGCAAGTGAGAAAGTGAATGAGGCAATGCTTGATACACTGTAAAGTATATCAGACTACATCAATATCATTATTATACTTACGACAAAGAATCCCTATTCTAAAGCAACCCCCCATGAACACAGCATTTATAGTTTCTGCTGTTTTTCTTTATGTTACCTTAAAAAAAAAGAAATTAGGTTTCTCAGTGGCTTATGTAAACTGTATGCATAATCAAAATGCAATGGTTTCTTTCTGTTCTTCTACCTCATGAATCATACTTAAAACAATTAAACATTTGTAAAAATATGAATCTCCTAGGAGCAGGATATAATAATTTTCCTCAAAAACTTAAATTCCTGGTACACCTTGAATTCTAGTTGATGGAAGTATCATACTAGCTGGCACAGAGCGCTTCTACTAAGTGGGCGAGTTCCCCACAATGCCGGCCACTGGGCAGAACTTCCAGGGACCAGGAGAAGAACAAACTGTATGGAGATTAGCCTTTGGCCACTTGGCAAATGCCTGGCTATTCTCAGAAGTCGTCTTGCTCTGGTTACCTGCTAGTTTAAAAATGTAATAAAAAGAAAGGACATTGGACACTTGAAGCCTTAAATATAGAGACTCCACTGGGCTCCCTGACACAGCAACAGCAGATTTAGGCTCATGGCTGCAGATTCTATTACCTGGGAGACCCATGGCCTTTCTGTTTGTTTAGAAAAAAAAAAAAAAAAAAACAAAAAGAAGAAGGGAGGAAGGAAAGAGAGGCTGCCAGGAATATTACTTCTTCTAGGCACTTTTGGAGAGAGAACCGCTACTGTTCCTTTCCCCCTTGGCTCTGGGTGGGGGGCGATGCAGAAGCCCCGGGCACCAGTCCAAGAACTGACGGGGGCTGACAGGGAGCACAGTACCTCTGTCTGCACCATGTTCACTCTCCGTGACCGCAGCTCCCTGACACAGTTGTAGATGTCCACCACCCCTTCCCGTTCCGCCATGTCCAACATGATGTCAATAACGATGAAGCAGCCAGTCCTCCCGGCACCAGCACTAAATGGGGAGAGATGTCTATTAGAGGAGGGAAAAGGACTCTAGTGCCACTGCTTTAAAAAAAAACCTTAGGATGGTGAAACCACACCACATAAAGTGAACCATTTCAAGTGTACAATTCAGTGGCATGTCACACATTCACAGTGTTGTGCAACCATCATCTCTATTGGATTCCAAAGCATTTTCACCACCCAAAGGATACCTATACCCACTGCCCATTGTGCTTCCTTCCAGAGGCCCCAGGTGCGCTACCTACCTGCAGTGCACCACCAATGGGCCTGCGTTGGGTGGGCTCTTGGATTTGACCTGCCGGACGAATCCCAGCAGTCCTGTGGCATGGTAAGGGACCCCATGATCCGGCCAGCCAGTGAAGTGGAACTGTCTGATCTCTCGGATTTCATGAATGCCCCTCTGCCATTATCGGTCAGCACAATGCAGGAAGAGAACAAAGGAAAATACATGATGAGCAACCGGGAGAGCATTCAGTAAGCCTCCGCAGTCAGTAAGCCTAGGGTTAGAACCTATGAGTTGCTGGGGACAAGGTCATTCTTAGATTTCACACACACTTTGAAAGCTTTATAGCAGGCAGGAAGATACTTATGGGCTGATAGCGGAGGTGATGTTTGGGGAAATGCTAATTGACAAGCATAATTCCAGCAAAAGGATGGATCTCTTTGATTCTTTGAAATTCCTTTCTAAAAAGCACATTCGGTTAACAGTTTATGTATCACTTCATTCCTACTGAGTGAGGTGTGAGCTCACAGAAAAGGAGGCACAGACCAGGGACCTAAGGAATTGAATAGTATCTATGTGCTCAACAGATCAGCCATTAAAATGCAAGGCCCTTGTTCCCTCCCTTCCACAGCCTGCTTCCTCCGTCCCAGGCCCGTGAGCGGCGCACACTGGGTGCACAGAGATGCCACTAGAAGAAGGGATGAGGGCTACTCCCCAACGGCAGATGCAGGAGAACTATTGTTCATTTGCAACTCATTTTGTCAGAGTTCTCTTTTCATTTATTTTTACTTTATTTTTTACCAGTTCATTTTAATTGTATTTTTCTATAACCATTTATGCTCCTATACCCCCTCCCACCTCCCCCACCCTTGCCTCCCCACAACCACCACACTGTTGTCCGTGCCCATGAGTTCTTTCTCTGTGTCTTTCACTCTACCCCTCCACCTCCCACATCCGCTCCCCAGAGCTGTCAGCCTGCTCTCTATCTGTGAATCTGTCTCTACTTCGCTTGTTAGTTCAGTTTGTTCATTAGATTCCACATGTGAGTAAAATCATATGGTATTTGTCTTTCTCTGACTTATTTCACTCAGCATAATGCTCTCCAGGTCCATCCATGTCACAAAGGGTAAAATTTTCTTCTTTTTATGCTGAGTAGTAGTCCATTGTGTAAATGTACCACAGCTGTTTTACCTATGCATCTACTGATGGACACTTGGGCTACTTCCAAATCTTGGCTTTTGTAAATAATGTTGCAATGAACATAGGGGTGCATATAGTCTTTCAAATAAGTGTTTCAGATTTCTTCAGATAAATTCTAAGAAGTGGAATTATTAAAATGTACATACTACCCAAAGCAATCTATAGATTCAGTACAATTTCTATTAGAATTGTTAATACACCATTGGTGTATTTCACACACTAAAATTTATATGGAACCACAAAAGACCCTGAATAGCCACAACAATTTTGAGAAAGAAGAACAAAATTGGAAGATCATGCTACCTGGTATCAAGCTATACTACAAGGCCAAAGCAACCAAAATAGCATGATACTGGCATAAAAACAGACACATAGATCAATGGAACAGAATAGAGAGCCCGGAAATAAACCCAAGTCTCTATGGTCAATTAATATTTGATGGAGGGGGCAAAAACATACAGTGAGCTGAAGACAGTTTATTCAATAAATGGTATTGGAAAAATTGGACAGATACGTGCAGAAAAATAAAACTAGACCACCTTCTTATCACATACGAGAATAAATTTAAGAAGGATTAAAGACTGAAGTGTTAAGACTCAAAATCATAAAAGTTCTGGAAGAAAACATAGGCAGTAACATCTTGGACATTGCTTGTAGCAATATTTTTTCTGATATTTCTTCTCAGGCAAAAGGGAAATGAAAGGAAAAGGAAACAGGCAGGACTACGCCAAACTGAAAAGCTTTTGCACAGCAAAGTAAACTACCAGCAAAATGAAAAAAGGACCCCGGAACGGAAGAACGTATTGGCTGATGATACATCTGGTAAGGCAGCGGTCCCCAACCTTTTTGGCACAAGGGGCCGGTAACATGCAAGACGGTTTTTCCATGAACCGGGGTTGGGGGCAGAGGGGTGCTGGAGACAGGAGCGTGGAGGTCAGGCAGTAAAGTGAGTGAAGCTTCACTTGCTTGCCCGCTGCTGACTTCCTGCTGTGTGGCCCGGTTCCTAACAGACCACGGAACAGTACCAATCCTCGGCCTGGGGTTGGGGACCCCTGTGATAAGGTGTTAATATCCAAAATTTATAAAGAACTTATAACTCAATACCAAAAAATCCAATTAAAAAATGGCCAAAGAACCTGAATAGACACTTCTCCAAAGAGGACATGCGATGGCCAGAGACATATGAAAAGATGCACAATGTCACTGATCAACAGAGAAATGCAAATGAAAACCACAGTGAGATACCGTCTCACACCTGTCAGAATGGCCATCATCAATAAATCAACAAACAGAAAGGGGAACCCTTCTGCACTGTTGGTGGGAATGCAGATTGATGCAGCCACTGTGGAAAGCAGTATGGAGTCACCTCAAAAAATTAAAAATAGATTTCTCTTTTTACATCAGGTCAACATTTAATCCATTCACTGACCTTCTGAGTGAGTGCGATGCTTCCTTCAAGTAAGCTGCCGGGCGCTAGGGCCTCAGAGACAGACAGGGCCTCTTGCCCTTACCAGGTTGTTGCAGCTGGCGTGTAGGAAGCAAGCATGTGGGCAAATGTACCACATTTTTCGGACTAAAAGATGCACCACCTCCCTCAATTTGGGGAGGAATAATGGTTGTTAATACTGCTGTTGAGTTCTGTTTACATTTACATTGGTGATCTATTATGTTATTAAATATTTTACCACATTTTTTGCTTCAGAATTTTTTTCCCTATTTCCCTCCTGTAAAAAAACCTAGGTGCGTCTTATGGTAAGAAAAAAACCATGGTAGATACCATGGAAATCAGACTTGGCTGGAATTCTATGTTGGACCAGTAAGTTGAAGTAACTTTTGTTTTTTAAAAATTTACGCTTTTTTAGAATAATGAAGTTGATTTACGTCCATTATTTTTTCTAGCTATGAGCCTACCTAATAAGACTGAGTCTTAAAGCCAAAGTCTATTTTGAAAACAAAAATTACTTCCAGAATCAAGGCTGGATGTAAATTTGAGACCAAATTAAATTTTCTCCCTTCTCTCATTTGATGACTGTTTACTGAACATCATTTCTGTGTTAGGGCCTGGGTTTGGTTTTAGTTATTTTAACATTAAATATCCACTAACCTTATCACCTTCACCATCAGTCAGTGTTCACACATACTTAGTGAGCAAAGAAGAAATTCAGAATTTTATGTGCTTTGAAAGACTGGAAGAGGCCAGCAGTTGCAGATTTTAAGATAAGGCTTGATTGCTATAAGTATATTAATATGTCTTAGTTTATTAAACTACAAGTGTGGAAACTTTATTTATTACTCTTTGAAAATCATGTACTTCTTTCTTTTTAAATCCTCACCAGAGGACACGCCCATTAGTTTCAGAAAGTGGGGAAGGGAGGGAGAAAGAGAGGAAGAGAAACATCGATGTGAGAGGGGAACATCGATTGGTTGCCTTTTATATTCTGTGTGAGGGATGATGCCCAGACAACTAAGCCACACCTGCCAGGGCAAAACCCATGCTATTCTTTAATAGAGTTTAAGCATTAAGGAATTAAGCCATCAGGTAGTCACAAATGAAAATCAAACTGTTATCTGCTGAATATGTTCTGTGACCCCTGGGTAACATTATGAGGTGGTTAGGAAACCACATTTCTTTTTTTATTGATCATGCTGTTCCAGTTGTCCCCTTTTCCTCCCCTTTCCCCCCTTCTCCTCTGCATCCCCTCTCCCTCCAGCATTCCCCCACCTTAGTTCATGTCCATGGTTCATGCTTTTAAGTTCTCTGGCTTCTCCATTTCCTATACTGTCCTTAGCCTCCCCCTGTCTATTTTGTACCTACCGATAATGCTTCTTATTCCCTGTACCTTTTCCCCCATTGTCCCCTCTCCTGCTCCCTGCTGATAAGCCTCCATGTGGTCTCCATTTCTGTGATTCTGTTCCTGTTCTAGTTGTTTGCTTAGTTTGTTTTTGTTTTAGGTTCAGTAACAATGGCCACAATTGTTAATCCCAAAGTCTCCATCAGAAGACAAAGGGTTGAACTGGGTCACCCTCCTAATCCCTAGAGAGCTCCCCTGGCTTTATGTCTGACCACTGGGCCAGTGGTGGTCCCGCACAATGGGGAAGCCTGTAAACGCATCTGTATTCCAAAGACCACCAGTGGGCATTTCCCTGCCCTCATATATACTGTTTGTTTTTATTTTTTTTTGAAAACTTTCTGTTCTAGCTTTGCTAGATTTCAGCTCCAGCATCCTCAAGTCCCAAATTCCATCAATCATGAGATGGGCCCCCGATCAATCTCTTTAAGTCTCACTTTCTGAGCAAGTTAAATGTCAGTTTCTGGGATACAGAAAATCTTTTCCCAAAATAAACCTTCACCCTCTTATATGTTCAAGATTAGCAAAGGAACTTGCTTCTGTGACTTGTGATCATAGCACAAATACTTCTGAATTTGGTATCATTATATTTTTTATTTTTCATTATAATAAGTATTAATGCAATATAAAAAGTTATATTCACCTCATCTTCCCATGTAATTTAATTGGAAAGAAGAATTGAAGACATGCAATAGTGCCTAGATTGAATATTCATTCAATCTGCAGAAAGAATGAATCGCTAAGTGCATGCATTCCCAGTGCCTTCTCTGAGCCCCAAACACCTCCTAGGTAGAGAGAATTCAGTGGCCATTGACAAACTTCCTTTCTGCCAGGGTAGAAGGGATAGATTCACCAGATGGCCTAGATCCATGGAGACTTTTGAGCCGTTTCCCCCGACACAATGGACACTATACCTTATTTAATATCTGGTGAACTTTGAGTCATCAGCAACATGGGACAGGAAGGATGAGAATATAAGGCAAAACAGGACTTCATCAGTTTCAAAGTGCAATATGTCTGCTTGTGTAGCAGTGTGGAGCCCAAATACATTTTTCACCTTAGGTCCCTTGATGCAACAAACTCTCAAAACAGTCCCTTGCAGAACTTTTAAAGTTTATGTTCCACTATTTTCCCCCCTTCTAATGAGAAAGTTTTGAATTTACAAGACGGGCTCCGTGGAAGTACTAATGATTTCTTTTCCTTAAAGATTCCAATTGCCCAGTTAGAAAATCACAAACTTGTCATTTTGATTTTCCCAAACGTTCCAGAATAAGCTCCTTGTCCTTCCCTTCACCATCTCTTCACTATTAGTCCGATGACTAAAATAACTGGGTGTTTCTAAACCATCTCTGTGCAACTGGCGATGTAGGAGAGTACAAAAAGAAGTTTAAAAAACCCCAAGGAAACAAACCCTTCTGTTAGCATCAGAGATGCATTTTCACCTTATTAGAAAACAGCTGACTACTGTTCAAAGAACTCCATGTTTAAGTGATGACTCTGGATGATTTTTTAAAAAAGAAAAAATATCGAGGGTCTTTTATCGCTCTCTGTTTTAATGCAGTTATTCATAAGTGCTCTTGCCAACAGCCATACAGAAATCATCCATATTTCCCCCTGCCCCAGTCCTGCCTAAAAAGGAAAAAACCCGACATCAAAGTCTGAGGTTCAGAACTTGAAGAATTGAGGCAAGTAGAACTCCACATTCTTTGAAGTTCCCATGCCTCCTGCCTGCTTATTAAAAATGACAGGCTAAGAAAAAATAGTATGATGAGAAAGAGATTAAAATAAAGTCTTCTCAGCCTTGTGATTCTGTGACAAATATGAATTTGAAACCCAAGATAGGTAGTTCAAAACATAAATTAGCCAATAAGCAGATGCAATTTCCTTGATTCCCTAAACTGGCCTTGCTGATCCAAAAAGTGCACTTCGGTGCAGTGCGAATGTAGAGTACAGAGGTGGCCAAGAGCCAACTGCCCAGCAGTCCCCTGAAACCCAAGTTCTCAAGGGAACCTGCTACTATTAAATGAGCACAAGCTTTCATTGAACAAATGTGCAACAGAATTGCTATGTCAAATGTAACAGTGCTGGCTCAGGTCTGGAGAATCAGCTCTTGATAGAAAAGTCTGTGGACCTCAGACACAAAATAATGTGTGCCCCTCACTGAAGGCGGGATGAGGACTGGAAGGCAGAGTTTCTCAGCCACATCACCTCCACTTTCCCCACAGCCTACCTGTGACACTTCTCTGGATGGACTGCCGTTTGCTTCACTTCCGGCCCCTCCCTATGTCGGCAGAAAGAGGGGGAATAAGGAAATTCCCTGTTATGCCCTACAGTGCTTCCCAGAGAAGAAGCCCCATCCATGCACATGGGATGAGGCAGAGGAGAGCCAAAGCAGAGCATTCACGACCCAACACCAGCAAGTACAAAAGGCTGAAACCAGCATGGGAGTGAGTATGGATGAAGGCTCTGGTTCATGCAGAAGTATTTTATGTTTCCAAATAAGTCACTGCTACCTGGAAAATCCACCCATCCATATGAAGCCAGAGGCCTGAAAAGCCTTAAAAGTAGAGGGATTCCAGGAGGAGTTAGGGCCTCAGTCTCAATACTGATACTAACTCACTCCTGGGAAACCCATATGCACATACAACATGAAGACATTTATCAAACTGTGGACAAAGAGAGAGAGACGGCTGAACAATACCAACCAGGTGAAAAAGAAAAAGGAAATAGATAGGCATTATCTTTTTGTTTGGTTGTAAAATATAGACTCATGAAATGGGAATGATTTGTTTCAAAGATGAAACTGAGCTGTTATAGAATCAGAGAGCGAGATGCAATCTTGAGAAATTACTGCTAGAGCCTACCTGCATTCAGGTGTGACCATGTACAACTTATCCTCATGAGTTAATAAGGCTAGTACCACTGTCTGACCATGGCTTTTCAAAGTAGGTAGTGTGAAAACTTACCTTTTCAACAGCAAATGTTCTTATCACATATTCTGCCAGTAGTTCTGTTTCTATTAGGGTAACTTTAATGTCTTTATATATCTCTGTGTCGTCTGGCCAGTATTTGCAGCATTTGACCTTTAGAAAACACAAAGGAAATAAAGGGTTTAGGGTGTTTTTTTAGTTCCCCAGATGATGGGTCACAGTATGATTTATATGACAAAATTTGCACACAAAACAGAATTTAAGCTGTATACTACAGAGCAAGGTTTATTTTTTTAGATCATGTACGCTTTTCTTTTCTCTCCAGAAAAAACAAAATTTGAGTTATAGGAGTGAAGCCTAGGAAAATGGTCTAAAGTTAACAAGCTGTATTTATACTGCAAATATCCCAGTTACAGTAACCATTCATTTCCTGTTTATCTCTACTTGGGGCATGGCCTGGAAGAATAAACTATGAAAGGTAGCTTGCAATATTTTAGCTCCTTAGAATTTTAAGTTCCTTCTCATTTCAGGAATCGATTGAACATTTTTGAGGAGTGAGCAGGAAGTCAAAACCAACTGTAAGACTAGATTTTTTTTTTCCTGAAAAAGGAAGGAGCTCTGTGGTTTTCCCAAGTTAGAGTTACAGATTCATTTTAATCTAAGTAAAGTCAATATACAGAATTTGGTAAAAGAGGAACACAGTCTCCCCATATTACTGGAAACCTCTAATCTAAGGATGTTTCAGGTGGAAGAAATTTGATAGACTTGGTCACTCCTAGTAATTTTTTCCTTTTAGAGCAGCAGGAGGCGGGGTGGGGCGGTGGAGCTGTCCCAGGGTTCCGCCCGTAGCCTGTGCTGGTCTGTTTTGAATTCCTGCAAGCACTTCTCCACGATTAACTTCTGTACCTCTGGCCCCATTTTTCCAAGTGCTGAATTAGATTCTTGCTTCTTTTGTGGGCATCACCCTTGCAGCTCCTGCTAATTCTTTGTTCCACATCAACTGCTCTCCTTCTAATTCCCTGTGTTAATGATGCTATAATCCCCCGTCACCCAGGCACAAAATCAGTGATTCTGTCTTCAAAACCTAACCAGTTGCCAAGTGTAAGACATTTCTGAAATATCTCATATATGTGTTCCCACTTTTCATTCCCTTTGCCACAATCTTAGCTCAGGCTCTGCGTGTACGTTCTATGCGTGAGTACCAGAAAACCCTTCCAAGGGGTAATGCCAATGGCATTTGCTTGTTTTGTGCCATAAGCTTCTATTTCCAACTACTGCTCTTCAAATTAAATAGAAATTACATTTGGCCCAGCATGTAAGGATCTTTTTGATTTCTCTACAATTACTGTTTTTAGCCTTATCTTTTACTACTCTTGTTTCTATACACTTATGTTCAAAGACAAGTGGTTTGCATGATCCCCAAACGGACCTCACAATCCAGGCTCTTACTCATGCCCTTCTGGTTAGAATGGTCTCCTCACGCCCACACATTCACAGATGAGAATTTCATCCTTTCATTAAAGTATATATCAAAAGCCACACCCCTTCAAAGTCTTTCCTCTATAGATGGGAACCCTCTCTCTTTTTGATCCTTGATGACATGTGTGTGTTCTGCTAGGATGCTTGACACCTGCCTATTACCTGCCAGTATGTATGGGTCATTATATTGCTTATTTCTGCACACCCTGCAACACCCACCGCTGTGTCCCAGACACACTAGATGTGCCATAGTTACACAGAGAACTGAATTTCACGGAGAAAATCATAGGGTCAGTGTGGGAAGGAAAATTCCAGATTGGGAAAGTTTACAAAAAGAAATATCGACTGTGGTGACCTTTCTCAGAATGCTAAGTACCTCAGTACTCTAATGCTTCCAGTGTGGTACTGTCTGGCCATCGTCTAAGCCGCTTCCTTATGAATGTTTCTGGCAGCCAATTCAGTGAGGTTTTAGATTAGCCTCACTACCTCAACTAGGCAAGACAGATGTAAGCCAGACATAGTAGGAGTTGCAGATACAGTGCAGCATAAGACAGAGATGGTCCCTACCCTCATTAAATTTTTAGTTTCCACTGGGAATCTTTTCTTCTCATGAGAATATTATCTGTGACTTTAGAAAGTATAAATACTTATACATATTATGACCCATCCATAATATTTCCATTTCCATCATGGATCTAAAATATTCCAGAACAAGAGAGAGCTCTAATTTCTTCACTTCCTTTCCTGGATGCAAAGTGAATCTGAGAAGAGCATGCATATTTGTGGAGATGTCTAATTTGATAATATTAGGCATCGAATGTTATAACATCTAATTTGATAACTCTAATTTCATTTATAGAATGTCTAATTACTTTCTCAATGCTAATTAACAAAGATGCTTCCATGGTTCTTCTTATTGGGGGACTTGTTTTTACCTTTTTGTGACTTCAATTATGGAAGCATAAGATAGTGGATAGATATAAAAATTACAAATAGAGCATATATGTGCACTTCTAAAATTAAACAATTCCCCATGGAATGAATATACAGTTCAAAAACCTACGTATTTCCCTAAAAATTCTGAGAACAAAACATACACAAACACACCTGCAAGCTATGTTATACTAGGTGTATCTTATATAAGTACTTTATCAGGATGCAACTGATACTCATAAAGGACATATACAACTTTCTAATTTATCTCCTCTTCTCCCTGCCCCCAATTTTCAATAAATATGTATATGTATGTGTAGGGGTGCTTCCACATATTGGAGTCCAGGGAAAGCAAAAGCCCCTGTCATTTATCTAAGTCTGAGTTCCAATTAATTCCCTTGGGCTAGAGCTTGGGTTCCCAGGGAAATCTGATTCTACCGCATCGTCCCCAGCCAGACGCAGCCGGACGCCCCCTCGCATTGACAGCCGGAAGTGGCCACGAGATCCAGAGGTTGCCAAAGGGCCAGCCAGAAACCTGTGGGACAGGTGCCATGCCGCTCTTTCAACCAAGCGAATGAACCATGAGAAGAAACCTGGTCTGCTCCGGAAACACTAGGTAAGATGCTAACTCTGCGCCACCCGGTTGCCTAAAATGAGCAGTAATTAAGTGAAAGGAAGCCTTGGGTTTACTTCCTTCCAGAACGTATTTATGGACAGAGACTTCTCCTGTGCAGAGCACCTGTGTAGGCGGACCCAGAAGAGGTAGCTGAGCTATTTCCAGTCCTGCCCTCCTCATTTCATCTCCCAGAATATCCTGAAATGGTTTGCCACATCTGTTTTCAGCCTACTAAAAACCCTTCTAAATTGGGTTTCTTTTAGTATCTTTTTAACTGCTTGGATTTGTGTCAAGTTATTATTTTGCTTTAAAAAAGAGAGAAAAGAGCAGGAGGAGGAGGAGGAGGAGGAATGCAGGCTTCTTCTGGATGCAGACATCCATGCCTGGCGAGTTCCAGGCGTGAGTTGCCTCCCAGCTGCTACGGTCTACACACAGAGATGTTAAGACCAGTGGTTTTGTGACACCTCTCATGAAGGCCAGGCTTGGCTGCCCTTCTGCAGCCCTGCACTACCTGTACAACATCTAGGAGAGGCCGTGCCTCCCACACATCCTGACTCTAAGGCAGCAGCCTTCGGCCCAGAAAGGGAGGCCCTGATCAGGTTCATTACGTGGGTGCCCCAGCACTGGTTTCACTCGGGCCATCAACCAGGCACCTGCTACTGAGCCCGTGAGCCATGGCAGTGGAGGGCTGTGGGGTAGCATGATGTGGCCCTTGCCTCCAAAGGGGGGTCGTTGTTGGTTTTAAAATTCATAAATATGAAACATCACAGAAAGCAGAATAACCTCAGGATTTCTAACTGCCTGAAAAAATTCTTCGAGGTGGGTCATTTTGAACTGCAGCCCAGGTGACCCCCTGGTACAGTAAAGTCAGAGGAACCCCGGCAGGCCTGGATTGCGGCTCCCAGGCTGGCAGTACAGTACTGTGACCTGCAGGGCATCCCCGCATCCCTAGAGCTGTGGCTGTCAAATTCCATCAGGCGGCAGGATCCCCTGCAGGACTTGTTACAACAGCCCAGTACCCCGCTCCAGGAGTTTCTGGTGGGGGGAGGTCTGAAGATGCAGGGCCCCAGGGTCTGCACTTCAACCCAGCTGCCAGGCGATGCCTCTGGCCTGCACACCACCCTTGGCGGCAGCAGGGACTTAGCACACCTGACTGCAGTCTGGTTCTCCTTAAGGCTGATGTGAGCTGGGTAAGTGTTCTCAAGTTTGCTGAAGGTTCTTCACCTGGAAAGAGGGAATGATTTTAAGTTCCTAGGTCAAAGTGATCTAAGATTAAGTTAGGGGTTACCAAATTTGACTGTCCCTTAGAATCATTTTTTGGGGGTGGGGTATAAATTCCAAAGCCCAGAACACACTCCAGGCCAAATGCATCATAATTTCTGGGGTGAGACAGAGGTATTGGTAGTTTCTCATAGTTGCCCAGGCGACTCCCCAAAACAGACGAGTTTGGGAACTACTGGATTAAGTGACAGAATGCAATGAAAACATCTGGCCCAGTGTGGGCTCATTGCAAGTGCTCACAAAATGGATGTTTGTATTTCTACTAAGTGATAATTTTGTGATCTGGACTGTAGGCGAGCACAGAAATGTAGAGGGCAAGGGGCCCATTAAGGGGGAAGGGAGTTGAGCAGAGTTTTCTGGAGAAGGAAGAAGGTACACTGAGCATCACCAACTATGCATGGTTTATGGCGGAGAAAAACACGGGCAAAAACAAAACAAAGGGAAACTCTAGTGCTTCTTTTAAGTCTCTTTCCTGTGACCCTTATTCCAGGGACGGAGGAGACCTGAGAGAGCGGTCAGCGGGAGTGCTGTCCCACTGGGGTGGTTTTTAGGAAATGGTGCCTGCGATTTGCGGGAAGGAGATTCATATCAAAATGTAGCTGTGAGGCATCACAGAGACAGCCGGATTCCAAACACTCATTTTCAAGATCAGTATAACTGCCGTACATAAGCCTTTCATGCTTGGATTTCACTGTTTGGAATCTCTGCCTTCTCACATCTGGGCCTCATTTGGTGGCTTAGGGAGGGCAAGTGACCGGCCTGTGCGGAGAGCCAGCTCTGGCCAGGGCTGCTCACCATCCTCTCTATTCCTTCCATTTCCTCGCATCTGCCAATGAAGAAGCAA